ATCAAATAAGGTTAATTTAAAGTTTCAGGACAAACCTGTTATCTTCTTCTTAATAACATTCAAATTATGATTTCCAATAAGAATCTTAATCCTAAATCTTTAAATCACAAAGAAATAAAGATTTCAGACTATGGTAATCTTAAGAGATATAATAGTAGAATTTATTTTATATAACACATATATATACAAATGCCACCCTTATATCCAAATGTACACCTCTCCTTGATATGTTACCCTTATCTCATGGTACACCTCTCCTTGATATGTCACGCTTATCCCATGGAACACCTCTCCTTGATATGTCACCCTTATTTGCTCCTCAAAATATTTCACAAAACAATTCCATATAGAATAGACCGTAGTCAATGGAATTTTTATTAGTTCAAATTCATTTTATCAAAATTTCCCATTTCTTGTAAATCGATCAATAAAATTATAAGTCCATGATACAATCCAGTTAACCTTGTCCGGATAACAAATTCGGACAACACTTCTCAAAGCTTGTCTGATTTAAAACTTAGAATTAATTCCAACACTTTTATCCGGATTATGAATCCGGACAASACTATGCCTTGTTGCCCGATTTATAGTAAACCGGCCACCTTTTTATYGTATTCATACTTCTCCGGTTAAAATTTCATAAATCGCTCAATCATTTAAACCGGTTAAGACATGACCGGTTTAAAGCTAAACCGCTTAACACATGAGTGTTTTGTACTTTACATCGCTTAGGCCTTGTCCGATTTAAGACTAAACCGGTCAACTCATGCTTGATTAAAATTTTAAATCGCTTAAGGCTTAACCGATTTATGACTTAAATCGCACAATACTAATCTGATTTATTCTTAGTCCGTATAACATTCAAATGAATTCTTCAAAACTCAAGAAAACATATAATTTGAAGCATTTTTGAAAACATTAACCACTCACCTTATGAATTTCTTTAGAAATCAGATGAATTCTTCTTCAAATAAGCAATCCGATCAACCCTTCTTAACTTTAAATCGCTTATTGAATTCACAAAAATGGCAAGAGGGCMGAATGGAGGCTTAATCCTTCCTTTTTATACCCTTCCTCTTTTGGAAAGGCGGCTGAAAATAGCCTTCATGTGCATGCATACATACATATTTTAATTCATGTATGTTATATTATATTTTATATATATATATATATATATATATATATAAACCATGCATACTAACACATTTTGCGACATGCATACACACTTTTGCCTAAAATTTCACATACTAGCATGATCAAATGTAACAATTTATCATGCTGTCACATAAACATTTAACAAATAAGCACATATTAATTACCTCGGGTGATAACCAGAGTCCAGTTATCACAACTATTATGTACCAAACCATTCAGCAACTGTCAAACAGCCCCTAAACCTTGAAAGGGGTTGTGTAATCCAATAGTGAGGTTGAGAACCAATGGTGCAGCATCCCAACAGATTATGCTGTAGGAAGGTTCCCAGCACATTATTGCTAAACTCCAGCCTAAACTTACACCCTTGCTTTTTTAAATTATGTTTTCAAGCACTTTAAGTTTCTTAACTAACTCACTCAAAATCATTCCTTCTAATTCACTTTTTAAAATCACTTTTTAAGCTTGACTCTGGATTACTGCTTGTTTTTATTGTCCTTATGGGAATGATATTCGGTACTTTATACTAGTTTATTAATTGTGTTCAAACAATAATGGTTTAACATGTATACTTGCATGATATTCCATTTGTAATTTCAGGTTACATAATCTGCGGACCCAGCGGATATCCCCCGTCATCGGAGGTATATTTTGGATATAGTGTTTTATCCATGTTTTCGTTGTTTTAGATCTATAGTACTATCCATTGATTTTTGTATTTAGATGTTGAGTTTTATCTATGTTATGTATAGGTTTTGATATATGGTTGTATCCTAAAATGGGTGTTTTCGTTATTGGATTTTTATCATGAAATCATGGGTTTTGTTGCTTTCATTGTAAACATGTCATCTTTGGAGAAATTGTGATTTAAATAACATTCTTTCAACTTATCGGCTTATATTTTACATGAAAATGTTTGACTCACTAGACTTTTAGCCTAACATTTTTTATTATCGGCATGTACATCATGTCGTTCTAGGGGCGGTTCTAGCAACACTTGTGAAGAGTTGAGCGTTAGTTAGAGACACGAAAATGATTTAACTATTCGGGGGTTCTTCCATACTTTGGAGTTAGAATATGTTGTTGGGTTTTGGTTTGGAAGTTGTTAGCTTTTAATTTGGATGACTTGTAAGTAATTCAAGGATCCTTTTGAGATCGGATTTCGAGTACTTTTAGCTTTTAATAAAAGTTTTAAAATAATCGTTTTTTTCTAAATTTTAAGATGTTCCATTTACTTATTGGTTTTTTTATCACTAGTGACTCCACCACAACCCCTTCACGTCCTACAACTCCTCGATTTGGACCTCCGAACAGACCACCCACCACAAAAATCCACCACCAACTCGTAAACTTGTGTGGCTTAACTCATTTGTTAGATCTTGAATCATAATCTTTATTTCAAACCACAAATTAAAACCTAAAATCTAAATAAAAATGTAAATTAAAAGCTAAAGATAAAAAATTTAGACTCTAAAATCATTGAATGAAAATCTAAACTCTAAAAATAAAAATCACAACCTAAAAATAAAAAAAAAACTTAAATTCTAAAATCATTGAATAAGAATCTAAACTCTAAAATCAAAACGTAAAAATCACAATCGAAGCCTAAAATAGGAAGAGAAGGCATGGCTTTAGGGGAAGAAGAATGGCAGAAAGGGGGTGGCATGGAAGAGAAAAATGTTGGGAGACAGAGGGAAATGAGAGCATCGACGATTATGAGTGAAACAGAAAGTAAATGGAGGAGAGCTTACGGAGCAGGGGAGATGGTGGTTTATAGCAGCTCTGCATGTTTAAAGGAAGAGTAGAGAGCCATGGGAGGTTGTGTGTAGGAGCGGTGGTGGTTGGGAGAGGCTGAGGAAAAAATGGAGATAGTTTAGAGAGTTAAGAGTGGTTGAGGGAAAAAAACATTGATGGTTTAAGGACGTAATGGTGAGATGTGGAGGGCGTTCGGTTCGCAGTGGTGGTCCATGAAGGAGGTCGTTGAAACAACTGTAGAAGTTGTGGGGAATTTGTTTGGTAGGGACATATTATGTGAATTGGGGGACAAGTAGAGTGTGAAACATTCGTTCATCATTAATAATATATAATTAATTTTTACCTTTTTCAAAGAAAAATATGAGATTTGTGAAAAAGAGAGGCCAGAATGGTTTTTATTTTCATCCTCATTTTAGTGGTTTTTAAAGGGTCATTAAAAGAAGAGATCAAATTTGAACGTTTTTTACAGACCATAATAGCCAAGGCCAATCTGTAACTTCAAAAACTATATGAATAAAAATCGTTACAATCCACAAATCATAAGGACCAAAATGGTAGCTTACTCTTTATAAAAATGGTTGCTATTTACTTATTAAATAACATTAAATTTATTTTCAATTTGTTGCAAAAACTCACTTAAAAGTTCTCGATTAGTTTTCTCTTTTCCGTACTCCATACCCAACCTCATCGAAGCCTCATCTCCGACCATCCTCCTCCTTGCACTACAATCGTAGTTCTACATAACTCGGTTACCGCCTCGTTATAGCACGTTACGTTGTCAAGGCTTGGGTTCGCCACTACGTTAACCCATGTGGCTTCACTCTAACACTTGGCTTACATTGTAACGCGTTATGACATGTTACGACATATTATGACGCATTCCAACGCGTTATTTTATAAGGTGTCAGTTTTTTTAATATATAACTTGACGGATAAATGATAATTGCATACGAGACCTAAGACATAACTAAATATAAAAAGTAAACTTAACAACTAAAATTCTAAACAGATCAATAGTTACTATCATTCCCATACATGTAGATTCGAACAAAAAAAATGAAATTTGAAGAAAGTAGTGAGTTCAGATTCAAGTGATTTAATCCCGATATTGCACCATTGATATAAGTTTTATATATTTGGTATTAATGATTCTTCTTTCATTTTTTGTTTTATTACCTTTATATGAATTTAATTTGTTCTGCGTTATTATTCAAAACGCTATATATATTTTCACCTTAGGGCATGTCTTGAAAAACGATGCGATCTCTCTGTAACTCGTAAGGCTTGAGACTTGATCTCGCCGCCACACCACACCTTACGTCATTTAGAACCTAGGCTACAACCATCGATCTCCCTCACTTTTTTGTCGTACACCATCACTGCCCTAAACCCTATCGCCTTTCTTTCACTGGAGAAGCGAACTTGTATGGGGGCAATGCCGACGAGGGTGGAGTTTAAGTATTTAGTTTTTCTTTTGAAAAATGACCCAACAAACTTTCCCTTTTAAATATTATGTCGATAAATTATTTTTTAATAAAATAAATTATTAAACTTTTTGATGGTAAATGATTAAATCCCTAATTGTTTTTTAATAAATAACCAAAGAATTTCTTAAAAATGGTTAGTTATGTGTTTTTATATAAAAAAAACTACTTGTAACAGGCTAGGAAAACTTTAAAGTATAGAAAGCCTAAATCAATTTTATCAAATCCAAATCTTATGGCATTCGAACTCTTGCATCCAACGGTATCGCTCCTCCTCACCACCTCGTCAACCATTCTCCATATCGCCGTCGTTGGCACATATCATCAATCTCTCTCTTTTTTAATATGCTATTTATTTATCTTTCGATTCTCACTCTTTTACAACAAATTTAATGGAATGCATATAAGATAGATAGATAGATAAAAAGTGTAGTATGTATGTCCCTTGGTTTTTTCGTACTTTTTCCTAAAAAGAGAATGATGGAATGCAATATACCAATTTTTAGGGAAAAAAATGAAAAAGAAAAACATGTTGAAGATGGATGGCCAATCTTTTCTTATCTATATCTATATACATACATATATATGTAACCAAAATTAACGATATAGAGAGGAAGAAGAAATGACGATGGCATACTCTTCTTCATCTCTCTCTTCATTTCCCTACACAAAACCACACACCCCACCACCCACATCTACCAAAAAAGGACTGCTGCCTGCCACTGCTGGTGGTCGTGGTGGTCGTGATGGTGGGAATCTTCGTTTCTCCATTAAAGCAGTGAAATCACCCGAGTCTGCTGACCCTCCTGCTACTACTACTGAAACTGAAACTGAAACCCCTGCTGCTGCTCCAAAACCCCCCAAGAAGCCTGTTTATTCCAGTCAGTACTATTTCTTCCTAATCTTGCTTTCTATTCCCTTTCCCACCCTCCTAAACCAATTGCAAATTCTAATTTTCATACATATATATATTTGAAAACAACATTGTATAAACGCTTGTGTTGTTTCATATGCAAAAACAAAACATGAAAACCGGCTTGTAAGATTAATTGGGTTTGTAAATGAATAATACTCGTGTGTTTGTTGGCAGTGAAAAAGGGACAGATTGTTAGAGTAGAGAAAGAAAAGTATCTAAACAGTATCAATGTAAGTCCCTCCTTCCATTATTATTATGAAAAAACCAACCATTTGATTAAAATGGTTTGTTTCAGTATCTATCTGTTGGACATCCTCCTTATTATAAAGGGTTGGACTACATATACGAAGACCGTGGGGAGGTCTTGGATATCCGTATCTTCGAAACAGGAGAGTATGCACTTGTAAGTTATATAAACCTTCAACCAACAAATATAATTTAACTTGCATTTTCATGTTATAAAAACCAAACCAAATCATACCAAACCAAACAAGCTTAGAGGCAAAGGGTAGAGCAACTGTTTCGTGAAAACCCCTAGCTTTGAGAACTATTTTCAAAGCATTAAGGCTGTAAACAGTAGAAAAGTTTATGTTGTCACCTGTGTTGTAGATTGCATGGATTGGGGTCCCAACGGCACCAGCTTGGCTTCCAACAGACATGCTAATCAAGGTAATTTAATTCTCCACTCTTATTCAATGACCTGCAAAACTTTAATAAAGCCAACATTTCCCATCCAGAGGATCTGGCGAGTGGGATGTATGCAGACCTGACCAAGTAAAACGCCCGCAAAAGTTATGTATTTAAACCTTTGTGCTCTTTCTTGCAGTCAGACAAGCTCGACTATGAAAGAATATGAATCAGAATTTACTGCTTCAAGAAACCTTTGCTTCATTTCAGTGGATCCTGTAATTTGAGTTTTAGTCAAACCCTTCACAATGAATTGCGTTTTACTGTAAAGCTGCAAATTCTACGACATAAACTTTCTCTTGCTACGCTTTATGTCATTCAATAGATCCACCAACGAAGGAAGTGGTTTTGGCACCGGAACATGCATACCCCTATACAACTTCCTTATGTTCTCACCAACTCCCTTCGACAATCCACTTGGTGAAGAATACGTTAGCTCCTTTGACTTTGACTCGTCACATGTACCTTCAGAAACGTCCCTATCTGAACCCACTTCATTCTTGCACTGAACCTCGATGTATTCATTCTGGTATGTGGTTTCAGGTTTGACCAACTCTTCATAAACAACGGTAGAATTGCCGAGTCCAAGCCTTGCTCTTCCAAACAATGTCACAGATGGCTTTTTGCCTGGAGAAGATGCAGTCAAGATTTCTTTATTACTGACAAATGACTGCGATGATTCCGACCGAGCCCCTGAAGATCGTTCCAGAAGAGAAGGAGATGAACTAATGGAAACATCCTGTACATCTTCATTGATGAATGGAGCCTCGACATCAATGTCTAGAAGTTTCCACAGAGGGTCATCCGAAGCTAAATTACTATAAGAGCAATGGCTTTTCACGTAACTAAGCTCCATCGCTCTACACTCGGGGGTGGTCGACACCACCCATCTAGGTGCAAGTAGTTTTAGGGCCCACTCAAGTTCGTCTCTAGACGAATGAATTGAATAACAGACGTGCCAAATACCAAATTGGTCCTTCGTTGCTTCTTTGAATTGACCATTTTTTCGTTTCTCAGCTTCTGAAGAAACACCCTCAAAGACGTACCACTGGGCAGAAGGACGTATGATAAGAGGCTCGGGCTGAAAATTAGCTCGAGCTTCTGCTAGTTTTGCTTCTGCTCTTTCGGGGAGTCTTGGGAAACCATCAAAAATATGGAATCTTGAAGATGGGTCTTGCGAAAGGATATCGGGCACAATCAGAGATAGAGACTGGAAACATTCTGGGTAGTTTTCTTTGTCAACAAAGATTTTTGAGCCAAAAGTTTGGCACACATTAACAAGAATTTCTTCCTGACCAAGAAGGTCGCATGTCAGGTACACGACACAAGCATCGGGATGCTTCCATATGCAATCAATAACCTGCATTAAGACAAACACAATGTTAACTGTCAACTCACCTCTTTCTCCTTCATATTGAATGATGAAGTTATCACTATCACGACCATTTTCAAAAGATGAAAACAAGCAACACATTTATCTGGTGAAACAACCTGTAATTTTGATCGACTTGTGAAGAAAAAACAAGTTAAATGTACATAAAAATATATCTTCAAACGCCACAAGAGACAAAAGACGGTCTACAAGGGTTAGAAACTACCTGCCGGATTCCAACATGTTTGCTAGGCATCTTTGAAGAAAATGACCCGAATGTGCAGTCTAAGAAGACATAATCAAGTCGACACTTAGGTTCTCTGGGTATCTTGCCTAAATATTTCTCAGGTAATCTTTGCAAACACTCGGGTGTAAGTCTGCAGTCTCCTGTGTGCAGGATATTACCGAATGTGCCTTCAAATAAGAACATGACTGCACCTGAAAGATGCAAATAGCATGGCAGATAAAAAGGTTATCTGTAAATAAGTTTCCCCAATATCACATTTGGAATATATAAATATTGATAGATATACACATGCAACTATCTTTATAAATATATACGTAAAACCATACACCACACATGTTATTACGCATGCAAATATTTTCATAAGCTTGCTCACCGTGGAATAGTAATGAGATATGCATTAAAGGAGTGCTATAGATAGACTCTAATAAGGAAACTTTTGTAAACAAGTGCTTATCTCATATTGTTAGGAGTTACAGTTGTAGTCTATCTCCTAACCTCTACTTGTATATATAGTTCCTTATGTTGTAATCAACAAATAACAGAAAATAATATTCCTCCTACTTCTCTAAAGCTTTTATGGCATCAGAGCTCTAAAAAGCTTTGATTCTTTTCTCAATTATTTTTCTTAAAAACCTCGGCGTGAACAGTAACTTCGTCGGCAACAATGTTTCTTCTCTTTACGGTGTTTCTAACCTGAACAGTGTTTCCGTCGTGAACATTAACTCCAGCATGAACAGTAACTCAGGCGTTTATTTATTAAATGGGATATTCAGAATTCCATATTGATGGGTCTAGTGTTTTGTATTAGCCTTTTCGCGACCCAATTCCACACTGTAGAGAATTGCATTGAAGAAACTTAGTAGAGCCTATTTGACATCGGTTTCTTCATAGGAGACATTGTATCCTTGACTTAACCTAAGTGAACATCATACTCTACTTTTTCTTAGGTCATACTCGACCCCATCTAGTTTTCTTTTATTCTTCCAAAATGAATTCCAATCCTGTATCGAATCCATGCTTCATGTACTCCAATCCATATAATGCATAGAACTGTTATCATAATTAATAATAGCTAAAAACAACTGAACGAGTCATTCCTTGTTATACCAAATTTCATCACAAATGACTGTTATAAAAGATTTCCAGCACGCAATGCTAGTGAGCAAGGTATAAGGATCGCCTGATCCGTTGCCAAAATTAATAACTGCTAGAGCTCAGTCTACCTCTACTTCCATCACATGCTATGTTGATAACCTGATAGAAACGTAATCCAACATGCAGTATCCAGTGAGCAAGGTGGAGTATGTGGAGGTACCTCAACCATATTTCATTGAGAGTACAACTTTGACAGGACCAGCATAAACAATGGATACAACGGCGTTCACGTTGTTGCAAATTTCAGATAGGATAGCATTGACCTGCCATGGTTGGAGTAAGGGGATCTGGTCCTAGTACCTCGTTTCACGCTGTTTAAGATTTTATTATCTTTTCAGTTTTTTCCCATATCATTTAACCGATGTTACTGTTTACTGTCCTTGTCGCCTGCTTGCACACACTCATTTTCTACTTCTTTTTCCTATACCTTATGCTCTTTGGTGTCTGTCAAAATCCTTGCAACTTTCAAAAGAAATACCTTTTGCAACGCTTGTCTCCATGAAACTTTTCCGCAAGCCAAGGGTCTTCAAAGAAACAGCCTCCCTAACCCTTGGGGCATAGGAAAGGTCTGCGTACATCCTTACCTCCAGACTCTACGAGTAGGATATTAGGTACGTTTGGTTTGGTTTACTATATATGTTATATGACTTTTGTTCCACATATATATGCCCTTCATGATTCACCGAGATATGTATAGCCAGCCATGTTATATACAGCCTCTTTGCAAATACAAGAGAAAGATTATACAGAAGAAATTTCCTCCACAACCTTACACTGACTCATATACAACTTAGACCAGGACCAAAAGCTAATATGATCAATTATAAATGCAGATTGTTTGGGATTGCTTATTTGAAACAACTTATGCTTTTCTATAAAAGCACGTATAAGTCAGAAGGGTTTACTTCTTCAAAAACTCCTTATTACTAGTTTGGCACCGACATAAGCTGTTTATCCAAACACTCAAGCGTTTGTTACCGGTGCCACACCGGAATAAGTCAATAAGTTGTTTCTATAAACAATCTCAAACACCGCCTAAACATAACCTAATATTAAACAAGAGAAAAACTTAAACAATCAATTAAGCACCATATTTAGTTTAACAGTAAGATCACAATTTGGATTTAGAACCCATTACCAGGGCAATGATTTGCATCGAAGGCAGTAACCGTAAAAGTTTCAACGGGATCATCAATAGCAATCGACTGACCAATCTCAATTTCCACAAATAATGACTCATTAAGCTGCCAAACGAACAACACATAAAATCAGTAACCCAGAAACCATTGAAGCAAAGGGTTCGAGGAAAAAAAGTTAACTAAAGGAATTGAATGATTACTTGCGGGTAATAGTTGAGAGTGAGGGTTTTGGTGATACGGGTAGCGTAGATCGGAAAAGAAGCGTGAGTAGAGATTCCTTGAGAATGATCTTTGTGCGCATGGGTTAGAAAACGGTGTCTCTTTCTGTTAGAACATGGCGTCCATGTATCCACCGAGAATGGTAGCCCTTTTGGCATCTCAATCGGCATCCTCACAAGCAATTCAGCTGGGTTTTCCAGTAATCTTTCACACAAACCCAATTTACGGTTTTTTATCTAATGGGATTCCAATTCGGAATCCAGAGGGAGGGTTTGTGCCAATGTTTTTGGCGGTATAAATATTTCCCACGGAGCAAGCTTGTAATGGAAGTTAACGATGGTGAACCACATCCAGAGTTGCAGTTGCACACAACCGATCCATCAATATGGTCCAAAATAGACTGGAGGGTTCCGACCGGTCCAGGTTAACAACGGGTTCCGGAAAGGTCCAGCCGGTCAAGAAAAAAATCCGGTCTAGTCTTTGTAAAAAAGTTAAATGGCCTTCGTCTAGCATGAAAAAAGACAAGTTTTTATTTAGTCGGACTCAAAAAATAATTTAGTTCCAAAAAAACCAACATTTCGGTTTGGTTGGGTTGATGACGTGAAGGGTGTTTTTGATCCTATTCGGTCCGTCTTGCTCGGTCCAAACGCCCATCTTTGATTACAACAACAAAGGGAATTATTAAAACCTAAGCCTAACTTTATTTTATGGTTGATCAATATTGTTAGTTGTTTTGTTTCAAGCAAAAAAAAAATAAGTAGCAAATCAAAGGGTTTTTGGCCTAAAGGTATATGAGTCTTTGGCCTCCTAGAAGATCAGAGGTTAAATCCTCACCAAAGTTAAGAATGGTGTACGGGTTTATTTGTTATATTTGTTGTATATAAATATTATATACTTCAAAAAATAAAATAAAAATAAGTTGCAAAAGTTGTACTGATCTTGATTTTGGAACGTATAGTTCATGAGCAACTCGAAAAGTTGATTTTTTGAATTGTACGTAATGCAACATTGCTAAGAATTTGCGTACATTAACGCGGGTAAGAGGAATATGTCAATAATTTAGTGTCATTAAGCATTTTTAGTGTGATTGTGGTTATATGAAATAGATGTGGTTTATTGGTTAAACTATAATATGAGTTAGGAGGTATGTATTCCACACTCATTTAAACTATTTGTACCTAACCGAGGGGGGGGTGTCAAAAGGGATGTGCCCCCTAGCGGGGTAATAGCAGAATTTCAAAGGAAAACAGTATCCACTAAGGGGCTGTTTACCAAACACTTACACATCCCCCAGCGGGGTAATAGCAGAATTTCAAAGRAAAACAGTATCCACTAAGGGGCTGTTTACCAAACACTTACCYGGTAAGTGTTTACCGGTAAAATTAACATTATTAATTACTTATCGGGTAAGATTTTAGTCCATCAAAACGACATTGTATGCAACAATTCACCCGGTAAGCGCTTACCGTGATAAGAGTCGAATGCCCTCATTTACCGGATAAGACTCATGGTCATTGTCTCGCTCTTACGGGGTAAGATTCTTAGTTTTTACCATATTCATCCGGTAAGGTAATACAACTTGGTAAACGCTTAACCGAGTAAGTGTTTAGTAAACAGCCCTACCCCTAAGTGACATTCAACAGTTGTGTAACCTTCAACTTTTATTCAAAGGGCATTTAACCTGCCTTGGAAATTTCACTTCAAAGTGTGGGACTTAGATTCAAAAGGCAATTTATCTTCTAAATGTTTGTGCATTAGTCGTTATTTATTAACTATTATTATCTTCAACTACTTAACCATCCGAAACTAATTGCTGATAATAACTACCTATTTGAAGGGCTTTTCAATCTCTTCTTAAAAAACATAACAATATCAATGTGTTTTTACTCTTGATTTTGTCTTCAAATCCAAAGTGTGTATTTGAACTATCTCCAAGTAGAGATGCATAAAAAAGCCCAAAGCCCGACCCAAGTATGGCCTGAAAAAGCCGGGCCACATGAGCTCGAAGCCCAATTCAAGCCAGGCTTCAAAGCTCGATCAAGCCTAAATTTTGGGGGCTAGACTAGACCTACGCCCGGTTCGAAAAAGACTGAACGGCCCCTTTTTTCCTCACAGAAAGCGGGCTTGGAGGCTCATACCCAAGCCTAAAAAGTCTGAGCCTTGTGCATCTCTATCCCCACTAAATTTCATGATACTAGCAGGCTGAAATGGGGTCTTATAGATAGAGATGCACACAAAAAAAATCTCGAAGCCTGACCTAGGTCCGGCTCGAGCACAACATGAAAAAGCTTGGGCCTAATGAGCCTGAAGCCCGATCCAGGCCATGCTTTAAAGTTCAAAGCATGATCATGCAAGCGCATAGCTGCTCGGTCTAGAAAAGCCTGAAATAGCCCGGTTAAGTCTCAAAAAGTTTGATTAAGTCTGAAAAATCTGGTCTAAAAAAGTCTGATTGAACCCTTTTTCTACCCCGAAGTCCAGCCTGGACCTAAAAAATCCGGGCTTTTTTTCACTTACTAAAAACGGGCTTGAAAGCCCAGGCCCAGACCCGGGCATTATGCATATCTACCTAACACCATCGATTTTGTTCATACTTAGTGGTCCAAATTCTCCATATTCTAACAAAAATATGAGAGTGATTTGCTTTCTTGCTTGTATCCCTTGCAAAAGTCGTTACCTAAGAGATTTCCTACCATCCACTACCCCCCCCCCCCCCCCYCCYCCCCSATCTTATACCATGATCAGTCAAAATAATCATAGTTTCAACTACGTTTTGGCAGTTCCATCAAGGCCTAATACCAAAACCGCACTTGACCCATGGTAGGAAAACTCTCAAGTTAAACCACATACGCCCACTAGATCCCCAAGATTACAGCTAATTTGATCAGGGTGACCCAAAAGATCAGCTTGATAGAGGATTGATCTAAAGACGAGTGTAAGAGTTTGATATACGTTTTACTTGCTTGCCATCTAAAAGTATTTCAATTTATCGAGGCAGCTTTAGATTTGTTTGTCCATGGGAGAGAGTAGAGGCTGAAGGGAATACGCTTGCAGATTTTTCATCTCTGTGATTTAATGTAGATTAAAACGACAACCATGTGTTTTCATTATTGTATACAAACATGTTAGATCAGTCAATTTTATCAAATTCTTGACTCCTAAATCTTCTACAAATAATTTGTGGCTCGATATATTGTTGTATTGATTTAATTCAATCTAAATGCAATTTGTCTCACTCAGTCCTATTAATGGTAATGGTATGTCATGATCATGTGTTCTGACCCCCTTAGTCCCATCATGTTGTAGTCTAACATTGCATCAAACGTGACAAGAAGTTTTTTTTCTACCTTTTCCCGTCAATCCCTGCATACTGAACACAAAAGCCATTTCAAAGTCAAGAAAATGAAAACCCTCATGTACTTTCGTTCTACAAGAAATCTGGCCAACACAAATTTATCGAGCCACAAACGTCATGGAAACGGACTAGTCTCTAACATGTTCGTATACAGTAATGAAAACTCATGCTAGCCGGTTTTATTTACATTGAATCACAAAGTCGAAAAAGTACCAAGCAAATTCCCTGTCGTCCATGCCCTCCCCAACAGGCAAACAAACTGCAAGCCACCTCCATCACCCGAACTCTTTTCAGATGGCAAGCAAGCAAAACGCACATCAAACTCTTATGCTCGTCCTTGGATCAATCCTCGATTAGGACGGTTTTTTGGGCCACTCGAGACCCATATCAAATGAGCCGCGATCTTGGTGACCTAGTGGGCGTATGCGGTTTAGCCTGAGGGATTTCATACCAAGGGTCGAGTGTGGTTTTGGCGTTGGGCCTTGATGGAACTGCCAAAACGTCGTTCAAACTATGATTATTTTGACCGATCATGGTATAAGATGGGGGAGGGGTTGGCATGTAACAACTCCTGTATGCAGATCCGTACTGCCGTAATGGGCTTGAAGTCGGGGATACTGGCAATGAGACGATCGTTCTCGTGTTTCTCCTGCACACATAGATACAATGTTTTAGCAAAGTTACACTACCTTTGACCCCAAAAAAGTCAACTTGAGCTCTCAAATATCAAACTAGTACTTCCAAGTTCCAATATCACAATCCATCCCAGTTTTGCAACTCATTTTCTTGCTTTGAACTAAAACCAAACGAACCATTAATATCCTATGTGGAGGTGTTCAGGGGAGGATAAGATGTACACAGACCTTATCTGTACCCAAAAGTAAAGCAGTTGTTCTCATAAAGACCCCTAGCTTGTAAAAAGTGTGATAAACAGAGACTTGCTTGAACCAAAACAAGTTTTTACCAAATGTTAAAAAGCAACTCATTTGATGATGGCCATTCTGGTTCAAGTCCATTTTAGCTGTTACGTTTAGGGCACGTGACATTAGTCGAGGTGCTCACATGGGTACCCAAAAAATACCTGTTATCTCTTCCTCTCTCACCCTCTCAGAGTAAAGAAATTACCTTGGACTCAACATTACACCTCTAGATGCTGTTGCTACAGGTCCCTCGAACGAATTGATGTTTGTTCTGTTAGAGTGCATTTCAGAGGCGGTCTGTTTCAACATCATTAACCATGGAAAAAATTAGCCTAATCTGATATCATCTGGCCGAAGTTCTCTAATAATATTTTTGAAATTAAACCAATTAGTCACAGATGTGCACGCATCTAAAAGGCTTTATTACCGGCGTACGACTTCCATCAAAAGTGAACGGAAATGCTTCCTTGGTTAAGCTGACATTGGCTACTCTTGATGTAGCTTGATCCCGTACAAATGGGTGATCCAACAGTTTCGAGGCTGAGGGTCGTAAAGATGGGTCCCGTTGTAGGCATTGCTTTATAAAAGATTTTGCATCATTTGAAAGATGTTCAGGGATTTCAGGCATATCTTTGCTATTCCCAATCTTGAATATTGCTGCCACCTGAAATACCACTTGTCAACATCAATGAAAAGATGATCACAACAACATAATGTATACAACACAGCCACACATACTGTACACAGACGGGACAGAACTGGACCGGGCGAGCATGAGGTAAGTGGGTGAAAGAATCGTGCAAAATTTTAGGTTTTTTTTCTTGACATGGATAGTTTAATAATTTACCAATCTTCTCCCATCCGTTGATTCTTGTTCCACATATTTTCTGACTCGATCATGTTGAGTGGCAGTCTAAATGTCACACAAAAAACATGAGACAAGTTGTTTTGTTCCCAAAGAGCCATTGACCTAGCGGTATCCGGGTTACTGGTAAAACCCAACCTCTAAAGAGGTCAAGGATTCAAACCTCACTAAAGGTGAGGAGGGTGTGTGAGTTCAGTTGCCTTATTTAAAATATTATATACTTCAAAAAAGTTCTTGTTCTGTTTTCTATTGTCTTGTCCCATGTGACAAATGCAAAAGCATGATCTTACAAAAGAAATCAAACATCATACCCCCTCATATTGGCCCCAAGGAGGCTTCGATGTTGCCATTTCAAGAATTGTGCATCCCAAACTCCAAATATCAACGGCAAGGTTGTAACCATTCGTATTCATTACGACCTGACATCAAGAACTAGCATGAGCATGTACGTACATATATAGTCTGTGTGTGTGGAATGCATTTTTCACATGTGAGAAACAAGGTATAAAATGGACAAAAGTACCTCAGGCGCCATCCAGTATGGGCTCCCTTTGAAAGAAAGCATTGAAGTACAATTTGTTATCTGACCACAGGAACTAAACATATGAGTCCAATAATTGCAATAGAAGCATTAGTTCAATATGTTTATTTTTCTCTGACCACTAAAATTATTCCTTCCCATTTTAGATTTTTCTTTGGTAACAGCCAGAAAAATCTCCTATGTCCCTTTGGAGACTCAAACCAGCGACCTATGGGGAGGAGCTCCAAGACCTAGCCTTTATTTGCGAGTTGAGCTAGCCCTCAAGGTACATAACTATTATGAGAATATGGTGAGAGACTTACATGTTTTGCCATGCCAAAATCAGCAAGCTTAATTTCACCATTAGGGTCCACTAATATATTCGCACCTTTAATATCCCTGCCAAAAAGCAAACATTTTTCTTATTAATAAGAACCCATAAGAAGGTAAAAAATTCAAGATTACAAACATTTCAACACTCAGTTACCTGTGTACTGTATTTCTTCCATGCAAGTAGGCAAGCCCGCAAAGGACTTGCCTGGTGTAATTTTGAATTACCGGCTCCCTAAACGGACCATATTCTTGAAGTAACTTGTGAATGGAACCACCAGAGACATATTCCAAGTAAACAGATAGTGACTCTTCTGCCTGAAAAAACCCATAAGTCATTAATCAATAAGTTGACCTTTTTCCACTTCCAATAGGTTGTTTATACACAGCTATACTGCAAAAAGAGCATGACGCCACCCTCTGGAGCGTCCCTGCCGTACCCGTCCCACGGCCATCATGGGGAAGGTACATCATATGTCCCAACGACAAGTAGGTGGTGCCTGTAGTCGAACCCAGACCTCCCACAAGAATGCCTACCTCCGATCTAGGCTAAAGCCACAGGGACTGCAGACAGCTATTCTATTACTCTCTCTGTCCCATTCTGCATTTACTTTGCAAATTGAAACATAATAATTTCAAAATTGACGGATGTTTTCAGTTTTTTACCTGCAAAACATTTCTAATTCTAATATTCTTTCATACAGTTTAAAGTAGTAATTGTTTTTATCTGCAAATGAAAAAATTAGCATTAACTTTAAGTTATTTGACACTCATAGACTTAATTTGGACTTTTTATATTATTCGGTTGACAGAAGATGAGTCCAAAAAAGGAATGGTACCAGTTCACTTCCATAGTATTGAACGATGTTTGGATGTGAAAGCTGACTGAGCAAAGTGATCTCCTGTTACAAAGTGCGTAAAATTTTCAGGAAAATGCAAGCAAGAAAGAATTGAAGGTTAGCGCTTAATGGGTTCAGTCTCATTTTCTAAAAACGTAACAATATAGAAGTGATAGAAGAACAAACCTGGTTCAATTGCTTGAGACATTCTTTTGATGACTGATCATCCACAACGACTCTTACTTCTTTTATAGCACACATCTGCCCACTCTCACTGTTAAAACATACACAGAGAGACCACCAGAATTTCTCAAGCAACATTCAATTTAAACCAAATATCATATGAAAACCTAAAAATAATGCATGTGCAGTTCTTTTAAACATAGTTAACAGAAAATCATATAAAATTACAGAAAATAAACATATTATGGTAGACTATGGGTAAAGAAAATTGAAAAGTAAGGATGTGCAGGTCAACAACTACACCAATGGTTCTGATTAAGGTACACTTTAGAGGTCTCCTGTGTTCCAAATGTTGTATCTCGTCTTTCATTAGTTGAGGTCCCATGATCAACACTGATTTTTTGTGTACATTTCTAGCGGTTTTTGAAACGTTATTTGTTTAAACAGAAAAATGGGCAACATATATCAGAAACCTATAAATATACATCATGATGTTGTGAGCTTCCGTATAAGTAAAAAAATCCAAATGCATGTACTCCTGACCTAAAAATAAGAGTCCGCTTTGACTTCAGAGATTTAAACCTTTGAATTGACAGATATTATAATTCTGGTTTGCTTGTGACATGTTCCTGTTCTGATACTCCTCATAGTTCAATTTTGTTCCAAAATAAATGCAACACTTGATTCGACACATAGCTCAATGGGTGTTTAATTATTGGTCAATATCTAATAATTACAGGAATCTGGTGCACATCAAAATCAATGCTATCAACATTTTGCGATCAATGCTAATGGGTAAATAGGTCCTTCTCAGATTAAAATTTTGCCCAAAAGGGTAATGTTGCATTTATTTTTGTACATACCACGAATAAAAAGTTTGCATTTATTTGGTGATAGTTGGACTTATTCATTTGGCATTCAAAAGTCAAACATTGAATTTTATTGGTGGTGGCAGAGCTAGATTAACATTGATTTTTATTGGGGGCGGAGGTAGATTACATTTTGGAAACTGAACTTAGAAACTATATACTTACTGTAGGAATAGTCACGAGAAACATAAAAAAGAGCCCAAACGTTAAATGTGGATTGGGGGAAGGAGATTGTATTAAACTTAAAAAACTATATACTTATCATGGAATAGTCATGGTAAACATAAAAATAACCCAAAAGATAGACAACCTCAATGACATTTTCATTAATCCATTTCAGCATATAAAGAGTCCTAAAGATAGAATTTGAATCAATTACCTGTTAAAACCGAGGTAAACATGTCCAAATGTGCCTCTTCCCAGCAATTTTCCCTTCTTCCACTTGGACGATTGACAACTTGAATTTTCCATGACACTAAGAGTTTTCATATTGGACAAGACGGAAGAGGGACTAGTAGGAGAGCTGCAAGTTCTGATACTGGACAAAGCGGAAGATGGGCTCGTAGGTGAACCAGGTGGAAGGGGCAGTGGATGGCATTCACTTCTCCCATCATCTAACTTTTTGTTAGGAGAGTCTAGACATGTACTGCCGAACCGTGGATGGAGAGGTGAAGTGGTTGCACCCACCCTCGACCCTGGACCAGGACTTCTTGGTTGAGGGATGAACTTGGTCTCCCCATACCCTCTGTTGTAACAAAAACCGGAATTAACAAATTGTATTATGAACCAAATCAAGCCAAACAAAACAAACTAAGTATGTCCCACCCGAAGGTGGGTTAATACAGTGGGATATACGTAGACCTGACTTCTACCCAAAGAGTAGTGCAGCTGTTTCTATGAAAGGCCCTGGAAATCGTATGAACAAAATTAAGTTATAATTATATAAAAATCGGGTTTACCATTCTTTGAGTTGTTAAAACATGTTAAGATGAATCATGTTAAAGTGTAATCACAAATATATAATATATAATGGACTATTGACCCGATGAGTTGCAAATCTTCTGTTCAGGATGATTGCATATAACTCAAATTTTTAAGGCTAGCAATGAAATCAAGAGAGCTTCACCAGCACCTTAGATGCTTAATTTGATCACAGGATGTTGAAATCAGCTTCATATTCTATTTTAAGCATTATAAAGAATCCACACAGATAGCATTAAACCCTCATCTCTTTGTTGCTAATTGAATTGAAATGGGTTCTGAAATTCTAAATTATCAATCAAATATCCCCAAAATATATAAGCTGAATCGTCAAGATAACCTAAATAGACCTAATTTAATAACAAGCAAGAATACCCAAAAACCAACCAGCCAACCAACCTGAAAACCCCCAATTGACCATGATCAAGATTATGCTCATCAGCAGAGGACACGGAGGAGCCACCACTGGAGGACACCGACCCTGACCCATGATGATCCACTATTCCAATCGATGTTGTCGGTGATATAGACGGCTGAGGTAGAGGATGCGCTATACGATCCGAATCAAAACCCGAGAACCCAGACGACGTCCCGTATGTTCCGGCTCCGGCCAACGGAGTAGAAGAAGAAGACGAAGGAGAGAACTCCCGGTGAGCCAAAAGGACGTCGTCAAAACTCGTTTTGTGCTTCTTATCGTTATCATTCTTGATGGGTGACGGCTGGCTGTTCAAACCCTGATAATTATTTCTGAAAAATGGGTTATCCTGAAGTTTTTGCTCTTGATCCCGCTGACGTTGTTGTTGATTATCCTTGTTCTTGGTAGATTTTCTCCCAAACCAAGCAGGCATGTTCTTTTCGATGAATTTTGACTTCATCTTTTGAGGGTCTAGGAAGGTGCGACAGAAAGTAGCAAATGGGTTTTTGTGAAGAATGGAAGATATTATAAATGGGAAGAAAAGTTGGAGGAAGGAACTTCGAGTATGGGACCCTCCAAAGAGAAGCAAACAGTGAAGAACAGCTGGACCTGGTCCAGCCGCGCCGGGTCGTTGTGTTAAACCCGAGTACACGCTGTGGCTTTGGCTTGTACAAGTCGCCATGGAAATAGAGGTTTACAGTGGGACAACTACCACTTCAAATGGGTCGGTAACATATTATAACGGGTTAATTTTATTCGTTTTGCTCGGTAATAAATTTCATTTAATAGTTCATGATTTAGCGGCATTTGATATTGTATATTTGAAATAACTTATGTTTTTAGGTCCCGTATGGTTTAAAAGAATGGAATGGATTTGAGGGATTTACATTTCAAATTCATTCCAATCACATATTTGATTTGTTAGATTGTCCGGATTTAAAATCCTTTAAATATAAGATTTTGAAATCCTCAGAGAGTGTTCGGGATTTCACGAGATTTCGTAGGATTGTATGTATTAAGGTTTCAGAAAATGTTAAAAATATTTGTTTTGTATTTTTGTAATAATCGATTAATAAAAATGTAGTTCAATTATTTTTATAATTTTTTTCTATAAATTATTTATAAATAATGAAATCCAATTTCATTCCAAATCCTACAAATCAAACACACAAATGATTTCAAATTCATTCCAATATCCAAATCATTCCAAATTCAAATCCCTTCATGAAATCCAAATCCCTCAAAAACAATTTTCCAAACCAAACGTCCCCTTAGGAATTTGGATTTTGTTAAAGAATTCAAAGTTTTAAGTAGTTAGGGTGCGTTTAGTTTGTAGAATTGTTTTTGAGGGAATTGGATTTATGGTGGGATTTGGATTGAATTTGGAATCATTTATTGTGTTTGGTTTGTAGGATTTAGAATTGATTGAAATTCATTCATTTATAAATCATGTTTGATTTGTAGGATTTGGATTGAGATTTAATTTTATTTTCTTTTGTAATTATTTATTTGTTTTATAAAGAATTTCTTTTTATTGGTAAATTACCTTTTTGTTATCCATTTCTCCAAAACTGTATATTTCATCACCAAATCTCTTTCATTTCCCCAAAACTATATATTTAATCATCTAATTCGTTGTTTCAAAACTACATATTTAATCATATAATTCTTTGTTCCAAAATACATATTTAACCAGGTAATTGTTCATCCAAAACCACATATTTAGCCACCAAAATTTTTCATTCTTTTAAAACCCAATTCATGTAAGCTTCCCAGTCTGCTTCTTGGAAGTCCCAAAACATGTTCACCTTTTCAGGATCACATCTTATCATCGAATTACTTTAAACTTCTCTGGTTAGGCCAATGATTACATTTTTGAGATCTCAGAAGTGATTATCGAACGTTTCTTATCAAGTTCTTCTTCTCGTTCGATACCCTTCTTAAGCTTGTTTGCCATTTTCTCCAGACTATTTTCAAGTTTAGTAACCGCATTATTAAATCTATCAGCCATGGGATCTGCTCGACGTTTTCTCTTCTTACCACGCCCACTTGAAGTTTCTTTAGAATGCATATTTGCATTGCCACCTTGAATATTGTTAGTTGTCATCACGTCATCAGACTCGTCATACACTTGTTGTGTTTGATCTTCTATATATACCTCCTCTTACGCCTCAACAAAATCTTTTACTCTATTTCTTTGAGCCCGATCTTTTCCAAATACAATACAAAGACTCTCATAAAAAGGATACGTTTTGTTCTTTCATTTTCCCGCCCCTTTACGGACCTATTTCATAATAGAATAACATAAATATACATATAACTATAATTATTTTAAGTTGTATGTTATACCCACGACACGTGTCACCCAGATACACTGTCAACTAGCCATGTAAACCTAAAGGGTCGCACACAAAGAACACGTATGCTTCCACTAAAGAAAGAATCTAAACATGTGTACCGTCTTGTGATTATTATAATTATAGGATTTAATCTATAAATACGTATGTAATTATCTTAATGTTTTTAGATAATTATATAAGATATTATTAGATAAATAAATAATCACTTTAGATAATGATTAAGCCTTATAAAGAGTTATGGTCAATCTCGAAGACTGACCATATAAATAAGGCTTAAGGGCTAAACCAAAGTAGAAGATTGAGTTTTGATAACTAGTTGTAGCCTTAAAACCTTTACGATACAATTAGGGTGCGTTTGGTAGGCGGAACAGGGTGGGACAGGACAGGATAGAACACATTTGTCCCATGTTTGGCATGTGTTTATATGGAACAAGGTGGAACTAACTAGAACAAATATGGAACACGCGTATCCCTTCTAACCCCCCTGGATCTAAGTGGAACAAGGAAGCATTTTACCCATATACCCCTAAAATTACAAAACCTAATCACACTCTCCTCTCTCGTCCTCTCAATTCGTCTCCTTCATCAGATCAGGCTCTACCCTCTCTACTCCTCTACTCGTTTTCTTCATCAAGATCGATCCTATGAGGTAATTTCTGAAATTGATTTCTCATAGAGAAATGAAGCATTTTTGTTAATTCGCCCATAGGAAATCCAAGGATGAACAGGGGGCTTTAAACCACCAATTTCTTCTCCTTGTTAACACCATACTCATCGATTCCAAAAACTTTAATCATGAAAACCAATTTGCAGAATATTAATCATGAAAACCAATTCCAGAAAGTTAAAACTTGAAACCCATTTCCATAAACTTGAACCTTGAAACCTATACTCATCGATTTATGCTATTATAGAAGGAATCATTGTCCCAACTATTGTTTTCTGAATCGATTTTGATTGATGTTTTTTCTGAATCGATTTTGGTTGATGTTTTGGCTATTGTTATATTAATTGATTTTGGTCGATGTTTAGGCTCTTGTTTTTGGTCGATATTTTGCTACTGTTATCTTAATCGATTGTTACCATCGATTTATGCTATTGTAGAAGATTAACTACTATTTTTGGTCGATGTTTTTGGTTACTGTTTTTGGCTCCTGTGTTATGTGTTTTGGCTACTGTTTTTTGCTACTGTTAGGCTCATGTGTTATGTGTTTTTGGCTACTGTTAGGCTCATGTTTGTGTTGGGTTTGCCTTGGCTTGGCTTGCTTATTTTCAATATCTAACTCATTAAGAATAGAAAATATGAGCTAAATGATTGCAAGGTCTAAACGCTAATCTGTTTAAGAATATAAACTAGTTATGTAAATGGAACTTTGTTTTTGGTTATTTGATAGTTAGAACTAATTACACAAGAATATGCAATAAGAATATGGAGCTAAGCTTTACTGTCAGTTCTGAAAACCCTTCAAGTGAAAAAAACATTAAACAGCTCACTGGGGGTAAATTGGTCATTTTAACCAGTTCTGTCACGTCCTATCATGTTTTACCAAACGCTGAACAACTGTCCTGTCCTGTCCTGTCCTGTCCTGTCCCGTCCTATCTGCGTACCAAACGCACCCTTATAGAATTAGAATTCTTTGGGCTAGCACCCGGTGGGAGTTCCAAGCGTGTTCGTGTGTGGACAACCGATAGAGGAAACCTGATTTGGTTTCTTAGTGCTACATCAAAGTTTCAATTTCAACCACAAGGTAAATAAATTAAACACCCTATGATTTGTGTAGATTCGGTTTAATTGTCAATGGATCCGGCTTTGGGTTTTATTTAGAAAATTTTTCTAAACGTTTTTGTAACTAGGTTATGTTTTTCCGCTACGTTTTATCCGGTTATTTTCGCAAACTAAAACCCAACAGTGGTATCAGAGCAACTTTGACAATTATTCCGATTAATCGAAAGTAGTTAAAACGGAATGTCATTAAATGAGATTTTATTTTTGAAAGGATTTCGAAGAAATCAGTTGGGCCGGTTCTAATAAAACCATATATGGGCCGAGACTTCTTTTGGCTATAATTCTTTGAGCCTGTTTTTAAGCTATTTTAAATTAAAATGCTTGGGCTTATCTATACTATATTATAAAGAATTTGACAAAAACTCTTAAAAACCATTCTTTATGCACAAAGTACTGTATTTTAATACATATTACTTAAAATTTAAGATTACAAGTAAATTATACATAAGTACAATTTATTAAAACTCCATTTTTGAATTTGTATAACTAACTGCAGATAAACCTAATCAAATATAGGATAAATTTTCATTTTAAATATAAAAAATCCAAATACAATTAGGATAATCATTGAGTTCTAATAGAATCATTATTTATAAAAAATTTAAGTCAAAAAAATAAATTACTTCTTTATTTGACCTAAATTGAATTATAATAAAAAAAAATCAATTAAAGAAATTGTAAAAAAAATACTTTTAAATATTTAATTTGATATTAATATCGATATATTCTTTCAAAATTTTATGATATATTCAAATTTATTTTTATTCAAAAGTAAAAATATTATTTTTCTCAAAACCACATAAACCGTATTATATCAACAAAAAAAAACAGAACATTAAAATGAATATGTATCTCGCTGGCGAGTACCCTTCTAGTTATTAATTAAAAACTTGGTTTTTTTAATTTAAATGATTGGGAGTTAAAACTTTGGGTCAAATTTCGTTTAAAGTTAGGGTTGGTTAAAATTAAATTATGGACTAATTAAAACCAAATATGTGTTGGTCCCGTAAGGGTTTACAAGAATAGAAACAGTTTGTAGAAGGGGAGGATGAATACAAACACAGTATTTTCAAATTTAAAATATATATTGATAGAGAAGATCAATACAGATTTTACAAGACTGTTTGCGGAAAGATAAGGTAATGAAAACCTATCTAAACAATCTTTGGTTAYACABADMKYT